CCGAAATTCTCACGTAATTGAAGAATTGAAGCACATTTCACTTTTCACTTTGCATGGCCTAGACTTGACAGTTTGAGAGTATTTTTACGCAATCCTCTATAAGTAGAATCTTATCTTGACCAACCTCAACATGTCTGATGTGACACCTACTTAGAACAACACTCGAATGTTATTTCCACTTATCTGTATACAGAAACGCCGCAAGAGTATTTAAGCTTCGACATGTCGCCGAATATCGTTCTTCTTCGTTTTATTTTGGATTCTTTTTTGAGGGGTTCCTGCATAATTTATGGGCGCTTTGACCAGGTTTTTGGGGAGAGCATTGTGAATGCGATACACGCACTCTAATTGCGGCTGACCCACATATCGCCTGACATTATTCAATTTTCGTTAATAAATGCGGTGTAAATAGAGAACAGTTACAGCAACCAACGGCTACTGTTAAACTTTGACTAAAATGCTAAATCTATATAGTAATAATAATAATAAGTAAACACACATACACATATCGTATATCTAAGCAAATGTACGATTTAAACAAATGAAATGTTTATTTTTAGCTGCATAAACATCGCACTGGCAGTCATCAACTTTTCATGTCGACTCTCTGTGTATAGTGTGTCAAGCTGAGAATGCTGAAATATATTTGTGAATTGTCCGCCGCGGTTTCTATTGCTTAAACAAAAGACAACTGCCACTCTTGAACTTAATAGATTGGGCACGAATCGCGGCCATCTGCCCCGCACTTGAACCTGTTAACAAGTGCAACGATTTTTCGAAATTATTTCAAATTTGTTTTGATTCGTTTCGTTTGCGCAATGCCTTGTAAACATTTATGCATGTATGTATGTGCATATGCCTGTATGCTTATAGATTTCATTACAAGCCAAAATGTTTATTAATATACAGAAACACTTTCACTTGTTGCTGCGCGTCTCTTTCTCGTGTGCCGTTTTTATTCATTATTTTATTTTACAGGTGTTACGTTTTTACAGACGGCGCCTCTTAAACCGTTCACTTAACTGTCTAGCAGGAAATTAGTTAAATGGCTACTTAAATAGTAACTTAGCGATGTCGGCGACTATCACAAATTTATTTATTTTCGCCTCGTAAATCGAGCAGCGCTCAGCTGATAAGAACCATAAACAAAACGAAACACACACACACACACACTTTCAAGTGTTTGTTGGGTTGTAGCTGTGATTCGCGACGTGTACGCTGCTGTACCAACAATAACAATAGCGTAGGCAGCTGCATCCCGTTAGGGGTGGAGTTGGTGGTAGAACTGATGTAACGTGACGTCACAGTAGTTGATGCTACTTACAATGTGTTCCCGAACTGTATTGTGGAATAACTGCAGCTTCAGATCAGTCACCTCCTCCTCTTCTTCCTCCATGTTCTTGAGGAAGAAGCTTAGTTTATCGTTTTGAGCCAGTTTCGTGCTGATTTTACAAGGCTCGCCTACGCCCTGGAACAGTTTATTCGGCTCTTGTGAGGCACGCACACAGTTAAATGGCCAATAGTAAATAATTTCACTTTTCTCCCGCGTACGCACGCGACCGCAGTCCGAATTGATATATAGATACTTGTTGTAATAGCTTATTGGATAAATTCGTGTTTGCTTTCATTGCCGTTTTATACAATTTTATAATAAAAATTTTGACTTTTTAGCTGTACAGCATTTTAGCTATGCCCACTATTCCTTCGCGCCGAAACGACCGTCGTACACAACTATACAACGTAAAAAATTCTTTCAACTGAACTGGAGATGTCAAAAACAAATGACTATCGACAGAATAAACGATAGACATATTCGACAAATTGACAGCTTGCACCTCTGCAGTGCTTTAGGGTTGCCTATCACATTCAACTACCAGCTGATTGTCGGATTGCTGTTAATGACGTAAAAACATGTCCCAACCGTTGAAGCGCCAGGTAAACTTCTGATTTTTGTATTTGATTAATGAATACAATATTTACTTTTATGACACCCACAGGTTCTTAATGCGTTTAAGAAGCTCCATCGCACGAGGCAGTATGTATTTCATGGGGATGACAGGGCCTTAGTGGCGGGGCGGAATAAAATAAACGAATCCTTTCAGCAGAACCGCAACGAAACCAATGAAGAGGAAATTAAAAAGGTGGTATCTGCATAGAATAAGTAAAGCTAGATTTTTATCTTGTCCTATAATTATAGATGATTAAATTAGCTGAGGAGGTAGACTATGAGTTGCGTACGAATGTAATTCAGGCTAAACAGAAGGAAGACAACGTCTTCGGTAAGTAAATATTACATAAATAGATTCCCATTCACTCAAGGCCACAATTCTTCCAGAGCTTCGCATTACGCCAGAGACAACTCGCCTGGACAATATGCCCTTCAATCCCGATGCTGTCATTGAGGCACCGCGCAGACGGCGAGGTGATAAATCAACAGGCTGCTGTGGAGGTGGAGCTGCCATGGCAGCGCTACAGGCCGAGGTAGACGCGCGCAATAAATGAAAATACGCGTTGTGATCATTGGCAAACTAGACTAAATAAAATTACATGTATTTCTTTTAACAACTTGTCAGTCATTATTTCTTATGTTTCTTCTTCGACTTGTGTTTTCTCTTAGTTTTGCTCTTTCTCTGCTTCGATTTGCTGTGTTTTTTGCGTTTGCTACGCTCATCTGAGGAGCTTTCGTCGGAGCTATCAGTTGAAGATGATTCACTGTCGTCAGAGGAGTCGCTCGACTCCGAGCTACTGGATTTTGCTCGCTTTGATTTTTTTTTGGATGCTCGCTCCTCTTTCACAGCTACGCGTTTCCGATCTCTTGAGACATTTTCTGATTCCTTTGCCTTGTACTTTCTTTCCGCTTGCCGTCGATCGCTTTGTGAGTTAGTCGGGGTTCTAAATGAAGGTATTCGAATAGATATGTTACTAAGACATTTAGATATAATATTAATTTAGTTACCTGCGATGTCTGTCCACACTTCCATCACGTTGGTGTTCCCCTCGCCTACGCTCTGGTGAGTATCGTGAGCCTCTGTAAGGCGATATCGGCCTTCTACGATCTACGTTTCTGTCATTCGATCTCGATCGTCGTCTCTCGTATCGTTCGTTATGCCGACCATTGGTTTCCCTCGATCTTGAACGTTGTGTATTATTGCGTCGGCCACGATCTTCGCGTTCCCTTTGCTCCTTATGTCGTTGCTCTCGAGCCTTTCTCCGTTCTTCCGAGGTTATTACTCTTTTCTGTTCGTCGTTTCGGTTTCTGTCGATACGTCGATCGCCTTGACCTCGCCGGTCTTCATGTTCCCTCATTCTGGGTTTGTTCTCGTGTTTCTTGCCATTACTTTCCCTCAAGTTGTTAAAGTCCAATTGGCTGCCATCACCAACGACCCCTCGTCCCTTGCCCCTCCACGTCACCTTAGACACAGACTGAGAGAAGTCCACGTGTATGCGGCGATCGTCAATCAGAACATTGTCCATTTTAAAATAGGCCGCCTCGCATGACTTCTGATCCTCAAACTCTACAAAGGCATACTGCAAGGAATCACCTGTCTTGCGGTCTCGTATCACTTCGCAACCTTTCACAACGCCAAAGCGGCTAAAAATGATTTCCAAATCGTCGTCCGTAGTCACTGGATTAAGTTTGCACACAAAGAGAACGTTCTCTGGTGGCGCCATCTCGGCATCTGGCAAGTCACCCACAATTTCCAGGATTGTTGCACGAGCCTTAGCCTCTCGCTCTGCCAACATCTCTTGCATCTCTTCCATGGTTTTGCCGTTGGTCTCATCAATGTCTTCGTCGGCCGCGATGCGTCCATTTTGGAGTCTTTCGGCACTAGGAGATGGAGAACGGCTGGGCACTTGAAAGCCACGCGGATTTGGAAATGGATCTTCGAGCACGACTGTATGCGTTATGCGAATATCCTGATAGGGTCGAAAATCTTCGTCCACAATAGCATCATTTAATTTTCGCAATACTTCATGACCCTCCACAACTTCACCAATAACGCAATGATTGCCATCCAACGAAGTTAGGTTTTCGCCGAGAGTGAAGAAAAATTGTGAGCCGACTAGATTTTTGCCGGCACTGACCAACGAGAGCATGCCCGCGCTTGAGTGGTATATTTTCGGTAGGTATTCGGCCTCGAAAAATCGCTTCTGTATCCCTTCCACAACTCCCCAAACGGAAGAGCCGCCATTTCCAAGGCCACTGGGATCGCCGGTTTGAGCTATGAAGCCTTGCTGCACAGTATGAAACAGGTTGTAGTTATAGTATTTTAGCTGACATAGTTTAATAAAGTTGAGGCAGGCGATTGGTCGCTCGTCCGTGAAGAGGTCAACTGTTAAGTCACCCAGTGTGGTCTCAATAACCACCGACATGGTAGGCCTATGCAAAAATCCACAATTATTTACAGAATCGAGCGGGAGGAAAGTGCTTTACTCAAACAATGTGACCGCACCCAGCAATGAAAAAAATAATAAATAGTAGGAATACACTAAAATTCGAATTTCCC